TCTCGGATTATTATAATATAGTTAATATATATTTATAAGAAGATTTTTATTTTAAGAATAATAATATATAATTATATTATTTATATATTAATACTGTTAAATATATAAATTACTATACCAAAAGATTATAAAATTTAATATATATATATTTTTTTTTACTAATAGAATATTTTATTATATATATAGTTTGAGTTTTTTGCCGGTATAATTTTATTTATAAGATTTTAGGTTTTTTGTAGATTTAAAAAAATATAGAGTAACTTTCTACCGGTAAAATTTATAATATAAAAATTTAAGTTTCTGCTGGAAAAATCTAGAATATTAGATAGTTTATAAAAATTGCTTTTAATTTATATAATCTAAAGTCTATTTTTATAATTATTATCTATAAGCTTGTTTTTTTTAATATTTAGATTATAATACTAGAAATTATAAATATAATAATAATATATTTTGTTTTTATATAGTAAAGTAGAAGAATCTTAAAGCTTTAATAATAAATTTATATAATAATAATTAATACTAGCAGCGAGTAAAGTTCTAGATTTTTTAATTAATTTTAATATAAAGATTTATTAAATATATTTTTTATATATTCTAATAATATTCTTACGGCTGTTTTAATATTTTTAATTAAGTTAACTGCTGTAATAATAATTATATAAAAAATTAGTATTTTTAAAATAAACTTGCTGATTGGTTCGGGAAATATTTTTAGAAGATAAAAATTATAGTATTAAAAATAGTTAATTTTTTTATAAATAAATTAAGTAACTTATCTTTTTTTTAATTATATAGTAAAGTTTTGCGCCGCAAATTCTGTAAATTTATAAATTTTTAAAAAGATTTAGCTGCTTACTTATCAGTTTTTATTCTAATTATAGATTTTATTAGTTTTGATTTTTATATAGTTTTACTTTTTATAAAATATATACTAAAGTCGCTTTGTATAAAAGAAGTTAATTTTATATAAAAAATAAGAATATTAAGATTTAAGTATAAGATAGATTTTTTATACAGTTTAGTTAAATAAGATGATATTTATTTAATAAATATAATATTTATACTAGATAAAGTTATATTTTTATTATAGATTTTCTGTTTTATAATATTATCGGTTCTTTAATATAAATTCTTAATTTTAAACTGTTTAATCTTAATTTAAAGCTTTTTCTACTTTTAATATATATATATATTAGATTAATTAGACTTTCTATTTAGCTGGAATAAAAAGAACTAAGATATTTCTAATATCTATAAATTAATATTAACTATATTAAAAGTTAAATATACTATAAAAAAACTTAAATATATACTACTATTATCTATAAAATCTAGAATATTAAAATAACTAATAAAATAACTATACTATTTTAATCTTTATTTAAAATAATTATATTTTAATAGTTCTTAATCTGCTGTATTAATATTTATAGTTTTTTTTATATAATATTATATATTTTAGTTTTAACTGGAAATATAGGCTTTGTAGATATTATAAAAGACTACTAGAATTTGATTTTTAACTTTTTTAGTTTATATAATAGAGAATTAGAAGTGTTCTTATAATATTTATATAAATATTTATATTATATTAATTAAATATAGTCCGAGATTATTTTTTTATTTAGTATAGTAGATAATTATTTTTTATAAGTTTTTTTAGATACTATATATATTACTTTATAATAATAGTATATGTTGTAAAAATGTCGGCGATAGTCTTACTTTTTCTTAGAAATATAATTATAAAAAGAATTAGAATATTTTAATAATTATAATTTCTAAATTAAATATTTTTCTATATAGTTCCGAAGCTCTGTGCTTCTGGTAAAAACTTTTATTTTATATATAATAAAAAGCTTATTATTTTATATATATTTAATATAATAGCCAGTATGGATGATAGTATAATAATATTTTATTATCTTATAATATTAGCTAGTTATTAATAAAAGATGGCTAGTATAGTGTTTTTTAAACTTATTATTTTTTTTATTATAATAAGTATAGTATTTCTAGTAATATTTAACTTGTTAAGATAATAAGTTTTGTTTAAAAATAAAATTTTATAGACGGTACTTATAAAGATATAGATTTTAATTATATTTTTTTATACTATAGCTTATTAGTAGAGGATTTGTTTAAATATTAAAAAGCAGTTTATTATTCTATAAATTTATTATAAGTAGATATCTGGTATTTTTCTTTCTATAATTTTTTATTTAAAAAATAGACTATATTAAGCTTATAAAAATAGTATATATAAATATTATAAATAATACTGATTTTTTTGTCGAATAAAAGATTTTAATTTGAGAAGATTACTGCTGCTAAATAATTTAATTTTAATATAAGCTTATATAATACTTATTTCTCTGCTGTCTGCTTAATATAATTAGAATATTTATAATCTCTGGTTAGAATCTTTTAGTTATATTAATTCCGGATTTAATTATTTTAATATTACTAGAATACTTTTGAATAGATTTTTTTTTTTAAATATTATATTTATATTATAGTTTTTTAATTTTGCCTGCTGACTGTATATCTTTAATTTTTATACTAATTTTAGTAAGACTTGGGTCTTTGTTAATCTTCTATTTTTTTTTATAAATAATTAATAAATAAATCTGTTTTTATAGAATTATTTAAAGCTCTAAAAATAGTCTATATAAATATAATTTAAGAGTCTATTTTTTAAGAAATTAATAATATTAATATTAAAATAATTCCTAAGATAGTTGTTACTGTAGACAGATTTTAACTTATATATAAAAATCTAAATTATAAATATTAAAAAATATTTAGCTGCGAGAAATATTAATTAGACTTAAAAAATAAAGTATAATTAAAAACTATAATAATTTATTTCAGATAGTCTTTTTTAACTTATAGTATATAGTATAAATTATAATATTAATAAAATAGCCAGTATTAGTAAGATATTTTCTTAAATTTTTTTAATATTTTTTTTTTATTTATAGGTCTTCGCTGATTTTAATTACCGAGATATTTTTTATAATATATTAATTTTTAGTCTTATTATTCTACCGGAAAATTAATTTATTTTTTTTTTTAGGATTTTTTATTTAAAAATTTCTGCTGCGCTCGAGAATCCGAAAAGAATATTATTAATAAAAGCTATATCTAAAAGATATAATATTTTAGAATAAATTAGTTTATTACAGTTTTAAATAGTAGTATTAAATTTATTAATATTAATTTATATTTATATTTCTATAAAAGTACTCGCGCGTGTTACTTATATAATATTTTTAGAATCTTTACTATTCTTAATAAATTATTAATCTAAATATTATCTGATTTTCTAAGAGGCTATTGTATCGCGGAATAAGATAAGTTTAATATTCTGTTATTATTAGCAGCTAATTATAAGAAATAATACTATATTTATATTTATTTTATAACGAAGATTCCTGTTGGTTTTATTTTCGGATACTGGAGTTAAAGAGAATATTCTAGATTCTATATATAGATTTTACAGAGTAATAAAATAAAACTAAATATAATATTTTTTAATTATAAAAAATAGATTATTAATAATCTAAAAAGTGATTATAGTATACTTAAAACTTTTCAGCTTAAAATTATACTTAGATTTTTTTTATATTTTTAATATACTACTCTGCAACTAAATTATACTTAATTTATTATTAAAAATTAATTATATAGTTTTTATATATTTTTTTTTAGTATAAAGTATACTTATGCTGTACAGATTCTATTTATTCTAATAAGAAATTTTATTTTTAATTTTAAAATAAAATTTTAAAATAAACTTCTAAGCCTAGACTAAGATTAAATTTATAGTTAAATATTTATTAAAATTAAATCTATTTATAGTTAAATTAATATATTAGTAAATAAATTTTTTAAGCTTTTTTAAATCTAGTACTTAATATTTAACTCTAATTTTATAGTCTTCGGGTAATTTTTTTTTTTAAAAATCTATTAGAATATAAAAAGACTTGATATTCTAGAACTTAAAATTAATAATTTATTTTTTATAATAGTATACTTTTTTTTTATAATTTTTTTTATTTTCGGAAAAGCTCTACCTCCCGATCTTTAAATATTTTTAATTTAATAAATATCCGTATTATAGCTTTACTTTTAATAGAATTTATAATAAGTTTTTTTTTTTTATTTTAATTAGCTTTAGAAGCAGAGGTCTAAATAGTTATTATTAATAAATATAAATAAAATTAAAAAATTAAATAAAAAACAGATATAGAGAGATAAGATAGAAAATATATAAAAAAATAGATTAATAATTAATAAACTCGGATAAAATAGGCTCTATTTATATCTAAACTAAAAAAAAATATTTTAGGTTATATACTACTATTTGTCTATTATTAATCTATTTATTTATAATAAATAAATAATTAGTATTAAAAATATTCTAAATTAAAAATACTAAAAAAAGCTGACAGTTCTTATTTTAGTAATACTTTTAAATTTTATAGATTTATATTAGTATTTTAGATTTCGATAAGTATTAATCGTGTATAATTTAGAGAGTCTGTTTTAGTTATATAAATTACTATAATAAGCAAGCAGAAGCTGCTTAGAATTACTAATTAAATAAACTAAAATAATCTAAAAGTAACCGGAGTTTCTAGATATATACTCTGTAAGTAATCTGTAAATATTCTAAAATATATACAGATTATTTATATACTATCTTTATAAAAGCGGCGGTACTCTAATTGGATAAGTAAACAGAAATTACAGCAAAACAGTTTACTTATATACTAGTAAACCGATAGGCTGTCCATCATGACGTCAACGCGATTACTGATTATGCCGACCAACCCCATATCCTGGCTTCCTCTTTCCCCGAAATTCTGTATTACAAAGCTCGTTCCTTTTTGGGTCCCCGGAGGAAGTGTGTAGAGGCTATGAGATAAACAGGCTAATTATAAACCCAATTTTGAACCTCTCTGCATCATTGAATATGCACGTCACGTGTAGAAAAACTGCAATCTTCTGTATCATTTCTGTTCTGCGATCATGTCCACCACCAATTCATGTCATTTAGAGACCAGAGGCTCTCTCTCTCTCAATGCCAGCTGTTGAGTCACAATGTCCTTGATTATCGTTTCCATCGGTCGCCAAGCAATTCCCAGAACTCGATCAGCATTCGAAGTATCAACCTCCCATCCGCCCTCGATCGGTGGCTGGATTTTGCATCCCAGTTCCGGGTAAGTTCTCCTGATAAAATTAGCAGCCTTTCTCCAGCTCACTGGAGGAGCGGAAAGAAGAAATTCGATCCCAGTTTCGATAGACAAACTGAGCGCTCTGACATGAGCCTCTGCAACGTCACGAACGTGGACCCACGCATTTTTGAGAGTTGGTTCATTCGAAAATAGCGAGGACCAGAAAAGTGCGTTCATGCCACCAATTTCCGTAGCATTATTTGTACAAGACTATCGCCCAGCACAAATGTCGGGTGGAAAGTAATCAGTGTGTAGTGGGGTTGGAAGTCCGTCAGGAAGTTCCGGGTTGCTTGGTGAGCGAGAATCTTGGAGGCTGAGTATTTCACTCCATGTCCTGCGAACCACTCTGAGAATTCCATATCGCGCTCGATTGGAATGATATCTCCAGTGTTATCTAATAATTCAAACGTTACTCCTCTGTCACCGTTTTCTTGGCTCTTATTTGCGGACCAAACAAAAATGTTCTAAAGACAACTTACCAGTAACTGAAACTTCCTTGGAACCAGCTGCGGTGGGAGGCAGTAATGCTAGAACTGAGGACATGACAATAACCTTTTTGATCTGGGGGAAATTGAGCGCGGCGTGAAGAATCGCCTCAGTTCCTTCCCCCGCCGGACGGACATAGTCAGCCTGAAAATCAGAGTCTTTCCCGGGCATTGGAGACGCCAAATGGAAGATATGCTCCACTCCATTCAACGAATCCGTAAAACAAAGAAGACTGGGTGATCTTATTTAGCTACAAATCTGGGCCTGAAATGTTTAATAATCACTCCGATCGGACATACCTCATAAGCCAGGTGAGATAGTTGAATATGTCATCACGCCGAAAGGAGGTGATTTGTTCAGTAATTGAGCGAATTTTGTTCCTATATCTTGTGCGTGATATCACTACTCTCCCAACGGCAAATCCAGCTGTCTATTCTCCAGCATTTTTTTTCCATTGAAGTTCTTCTACTGAGAACGTCTCGCAAATTAGCGAATCCGAAAAACTGCAACATGGAGGTCAATGGCGACCCCGAGAAAGCGATATACCAGACGAGTTCGCTCGGAAAGCACTCCGGACGATCACCTTTCCCAATGGCGGACTCTATCGTCAACTTCAGCACGGAGCAGTCAGACGACAAACCCGGCCAAAAGATCGACCCCCGTGATATCTCACAATGGCCCATCACTCCAGATATACTACAAATACGACAACGTAACGAGACTAAAGGTGGGAAACCGAAGAAGCTGGGTGTGACATGGCAGAACCTCACAGTAAAGGGCATCAGCAGTGATGCGCTTTACAACGAAAATGTTCTCTCTCAATTCAGCCCATTCGGGAAGGGCAGTAAGAGCCCACCCCTGAAGACTATTATCCACAACTCTTCAGGGTGTGTCAAACCCGGTGAGATGTTGCTTGTTCTTGGAAATCCAGGAGCCGGTTGCACAACACTGCTTAGCGTTCTATCAAACCACAGAAATGGCTTCGCAGAAATCACTGGCGATGTCTCTTTCGGTTCCATGACCAGTCAAGAAGCCAAACAATATCGTGGTCAGATCATTATGAACACAGAAGAGGAGATCTTCTTTCCAGCTCTTTCCGTTGGTGACACTATCGACTTCGCCACACGTTTGAAGGTACCCTTCCACCTGCCACCGGACATCAAGAACGAGGAGGAGTACGCCCAAATATACAAAGAATTCCTCTTAAAGTCTCTCGGTATCACACACACTAAGGATACCAAGGTCGGAGATGAGTTCATTCGTGGCGTTTCAGGTGGCGAGCGCAAGCGAGTGTCCATTCTTGAATGCCTTGCGACTAGAGGTAGCGTCTTCTCCTGGGATAACTCAACTCGTGGTCTCGACGCGAGCACTGCACTAGATTGGACGAAAGCCATGCGCGCCATGACAGATATTCTTGGTCTCACTACAATTGCCACTCTGTACCAAGCTGGTAATGGCATCTACGAGCAGTTCGACAAGATTCTGATTCTCGACAAAGACAAGCAGATCTTTTACGGACCTCGAGACGAAGCTGTGCCATACATGGAGGATCTTGGTTTCCTATGCGACCCTGCAGCCAACAAGTCAGATTTCCTCACGAGCGTATCGGCGCCTGCTGTGCGCGCAATTGCCCCAGACTTTGAGGATCGAGTTCCTCGATCAACAGAGGAGTTGCTCGCTGCTTATAACAGCTCGCCTATCAAGCAAAGGATGATGGCCGAGCTCGATTACCCAAATATCCCTGAAGCTCTGCAGAATACGTCAGACTTCAAGGAACAGGAGGCTCAAGAGAAGCACAAGAACCTCCCAAAAAAAGCTGCGGAGTCCGCAGGATATTTCAATCAGGTGCAGACGGCTACCATACGCCAACTTCAGATCCTCTGGGGCGACAAGCAAACTCTGTTCATCAAGCAAGCCTCAACTATCGTTCAGGCGCTGATTGGTGGCTCACTGTTCTACAATGCTCCGGACAACACGGCGGGCTTGTTCATCAAAGGAGGCTCACTCTTCTTCTCTCTACTATATCCTACCTTCATCGCTCTCGCCGAGGTTACAGATTCGTTCGTCGGCCGACCCGTCTTAGCCAAACACCGAGACTTCGCTCTCCACCATCCATCTGCCTTTGTCTTTGCCCAGGTCATTACCGACATCCCCATCATGCTCTTCCAAATCTCGCACTTTGGAGTCGTGCTGTACTTCATGACTGGATTCCAGTACACTGCCCAGGCTTTCTTTATCTACTGGCTCATCAACTTGATCTCGGCACTGGCTATGACACAACTGTTCAGGTTCATTGGTGCCGCTTTCCCGAATTTCGACGCAGCAACTAAAGCTTCTGGATTCACCATCGTCGCTGCCTTCACATATGCAGGATACATGATTCCCAAGCCCGACATGCATCCTTGGTTCGTTTGGTTCTTCTGGATCGACCCCATGGCCTACGCGTTCGAAGCATTGCTTGCGAACGAGTTCCACGACCAGGTGATTCTTTGTGTGGGCCCGTTCCTGGTTCCAAATGGCGAAGGATACAGCCCCGAAACAGGAGGCGGACAAGCATGTACCGGTGTCCGTGGCGCGCCTCCTGGAGCAACCAGTATTACTGGTGACCAATACCTGGCTTCCATGTCCTTCAGCCACAGTAACCTTTGGCGCAACTTTGGCATTCTCTGCGCCTGGTACGTTTTCTTCGTGGCAATGACCGTCTTCTTCACTTCCAGGTGGAAGCAGATGGGCGAAGGTGGTCGCGGTCTTCTCATCCCCCGTGAGAAGCAAAAGAAGCTACTTAAGGCCGTGGTTGCGGATGAGGAATCCCAGGCTGTCGAGAAGCGATCCGAGAACTCCGTCTCCGCTTCCGAGGAGTCTGATGCAACCATCGACAACCAGCTTGTCCACAATACATCGGTCTTTACCTGGAAGAATCTGACTTACACCGTTAAGACGCCGCATGGCGATCGTATTCTTCTCGACAATGTTCAAGGATTTGTCAGGCCCGGTACGCTCGGTGCTCTTATGGGTTCTTCAGGTGTAAGAGCCCTAGCAATGCGATTGACAGATGGACATTTGCTAACATCTTCACTCAGGCCGGAAAGACAACACTGCTCGACGTTCTAGCTCAACGCAAGACCGATGGTACCATTCATGGCTCCGTTCTAGTCGATGGTCGCCCGCTCCCCGTGTCCTTCCAACGATCTGCTGGCTACGTCGAACAGATGGATGTCCACGAGTCATTGTCCACGGTACGCGAGGCTTTGGAATTCTCTGCTCTTCTTCGTCAGAATCGTGAGATTCCCCGAGAGGAGAAGCTCCGCTACGTGGACACGATCGTCAAACTTCTACAGTTGGAAGATCTCGAGCACACCCTCATCGGTCGCCCTGGTGCCGGACTTTCTGTCGAACAGCGCAAGCGTAAGTCTGAATCCATCGCGAACAGAGTCGAGACGGACACTAACAACTTATCAGGTCTCACAATTGGTGTTGAGCTCGTAGCTAAGCCCAGTATCTTGATCTTCCTCGACGAACCTACGTCTGGTCTTGATGGTCAAGCTGCAAACAACACGGTACGCTTTTTACGTAAGCTCGCGGAAGTAGGACAAGCTATTCTCGTCACGATTCATCAGCCATCGGCCGATCTCTTTGCCCAATTCGACACCCTCCTCCTAATGGCTAAGGGTGGCAAGACCGTATACCTTGGCGATATCGGCCATCATGCAAGGACCGTCAAGAAATACTTCGCTGATAATGGCGCACCGTGCCCCCGAGAGGCCAACCCTGCTGAGCATATGATTGAAGTCGTATCAGGAAGTCTTTCTAAGGACAAAGACTGGAACCAAGTCTGGCTCAACTCGCCAGAACACGAGAAGATTACTCAAGAGCTTGACACTCTTGTCGCCGATGCTGCCGCCAAACCGCCCGGAACTGTCGACGATGGCCACCAATTCGCAGCTCCCATTTGGGAGCAGGTAAAGCTTGTCACGCACCGCATGAACATCTCCTTGTTCCGGAACACCGAGTACATTAACAACAAGCTCATCTTGCATATAATTTTGTCTCTTTACAACGGGTTTTCGTTCTGGTCGATTGGTAATAGCGTTAGCGATCTCCAGCAACGCCTCTTCACGGTCTTCAGTTTTCTTTTTGTTGCCCCCGGTCTCATCTCCCAGCTTCAGCCTATCTTCATCGATCGTCGCAATGTGTATGAGACGCGCGAGAAGAAAAGTAAGACCTACCACTGGGTGCCATTCGTCACTGGCTTGATCGTTTCTGAGCTGCCCTACCTGGTCATCTGCAGTGTGTTGTACTTTGTATGTTGGTACTGGACTGCTGGGTTGCCAAATGATACCAAGTGGGCAGGCAGCACATTCTTCGTCGCAGTAAGTCCTCTCTTCTTTGGTTGACTCGCTTTAAACTTACAATCCGTCTAGATGTTTTACGAGATGTTGTACACCGGTATTGGACAATCGATCGCCGCGTACGCTCCCAACGCAACCTTTGCATCTCTCGTCAACCCGCTGGTCATCACCACCCTGGTATCATTTTGCGGTGTCTTTGTTCCTTACTCCCAGATCACGGCATTCTGGAGATACTGGTAAGCCTCATACGACTATCAACATCCACGAGATCAATGCTAACATCACATTTTAGGATCTACTACCTCGATCCATTCAACTATCTGTTCGGCGCTTTCCTCACCTTCACCACCTCCTCTGTCGATATCACTTGCGAACGTGGCGAGCTTGCGGTCTTCAATCCTCCTGCGAATGAGACATGTGGCGACTATCTCTCCACCTATCAGCAAGGCATGGGACGTGGCACGAACCTTCTGAACCCAGGCGCCAGGGAGAACTGCGAGGTGTGCCGATACACTACTGGACAAGACTACTTGAAGACACTCAACTTGAACGAAGAGTATTACGGCTGGAGGGATGCGGGGCTGGTTGTATTGTGGGCTGGAGGGTTCTACGCTCTGGTGTTCTTGATGATGAAGTTGCGAACCAAGGCGACGAAGAGGGCGTCTGCGTAGACGCATGGTGTTTACTTTAGAGCGAAAACTGCTAAAAGACCCTACTCGAGGAAGAGTAAAGATGGAGTGCGAAGTTCAGCGCGTACGTGTTGGCTTTAGGTGTGGCATTGGAGCTGCACAAAAGGAGATTCGATTCCTAGATCATAAAATGGTGCACTTGCGCCAAGATTAGACTGTTGTAATAGATTCATGGGTAATTAAGACTATATTGCATTCTCAAAGTTCCTATCTGTGGTGACTGCTGATCTGTTGTGGGGCGCGTTGCCTGGGTTCGCCTCCTGTCCTTCCAGAACATAGGTCGTGATGTCTTTTTGGCCTCTCTTGACTTGTTTAATGTAATTTCCGCAAATGTTCGCAACGGCGCCCGCCGCTTAGATAACCGCTAAAACGCTCGCCGCACATGAGAAAGGGTCCATCTCAAGAAATGCAGATAAAGAACGAAATAACCGCGCGATACAAGAAGACTACCTGGACAGTTGATGCCGTTGCTATCCAGCCCAGAAAATTGTCGAAGCGGGGCAAGCGTCAGAATTACGTCCAATCATAACACTTATATCTAAATATATTTCCTGGGAATCAAGTACAATGAGTCTAACCATGCCGGTCAGCACGCTCGCTTCCTTCCACGACAATCGATCATACAGCTGTCGAGTCATCGGTCACGTGAAGTTCGGGGTCTATGGGGTCCCCCCAAGGGACAAGAAAATGAAGGACTGGAATTTCTGCGGGTCGCATTGAAGCAGGCTCACATAATCCTTCTCTCTGGAAAGCTAACTCGAGAGTGGCTAGCCCCAAGCTAAACCAAATCTGTTTCGAATTATAGCACGTGATGTCACGGCATGGCCACCCATTAGCGCCAAGCCCTTCTATTGAAGATTCTGATAATAAGCCTTCTAAGCTAAAGAGTATTGAATTGATCGCTTTATCATCTTAAGAATTGGCTGTGCTTTGTCATCAGAGTCTTAAAATTCTTTAAAAATTTTGTTATTATTAGTATTAATAAGCTCTTTAAAATTCTTGTCGAGATTAAGTTTTCAAATATTAATAGATAAATCAGAATAGATTATAAAATTATTCTATCAGAATATTGCTGTCTGGTGTTATGGGACCAAGGCCCTGATATAGAGCTCAGCTTCAGGCACCAAATTGGGCACTGCGCGAATACCTTGACGAATTCTGCTCGGCCTATATTGACGATGTGTTGATTTATACAGACGGGGATATTAAGGAACACCGTGAGCATGTATGAAAAGTATTACAGAAACTGAAGGAAGCCGGCCTATTCTTGGATATTAAAAAGTATGAATTTAAACAGAAGAAAATCCTTTATCTTGGATTTGTTGTATGTGCAGGGCAAGGTATTAAGATGGATCCTAAAAAGATTGAGATAATCATCTTGTGGAAGAGTCCTAAGTTAGTAAAAACAGTCTGAAGCTTTTTAAAATTTGCAAACTTTTACTGCAAATTTATCTTTGGATTCTTAACTATTGTACAACTATTTATAAATCTGATAAAGAAAGGTTAGCTTTTTTAATAAACCCAGAAGTACGAGGCAAGCTTCCGGATGCTGAAAAAGAAGTTTATAATCAAGCTGATTTTTTGTTTTTTTAATTCTGAATATATAACAGTAGTAGAGACAGACTTCTCAGGCTATAATACAGAAGAAACATTTTTTTAGATGAATAAAAATAAAGAGCTGTATTCTTGCATCTATTTTTCTAAAAGAAACATCCCAGCTGAATATAACTATAAGATTTATAATAAAAAACTACTAGTAGTTATATAGTATGTAGAAGTATAGAATGCTGAGTTGTACTTAATATCAGAATTTATAATAATAATTAATTATAAGAATCTAAAATACTTCTTCGAGCCATGCAAACTTATAGAAAGACACATACAATAGAGTTTAATCTTAAACAGATTTAATTTTAAACTAGTCTATCGAAAAGAAATAAAAGACAAATAAGCAGACGCCTTCTCGTGATAAGAACAAAACATACCCGATAAATAAGATTCTAGAATATTATTCTATATAATTCAGATCTTCAGCAGAATATTAAAAGAGAATCTAAAGTCTAAGACTAGTTTACTTGCAGTGGCTCCAGTATAGTTATAAGAATATAGAATAAAACCAGATAAAGACTCTTTAGAACAAATACAGCAGACCAATATAGAACTGTTAGAGCTAGAAGATAAATCTAAAAAAAGTTGGACCCGCGCTCTAGTAGCAGATATAGACTATCAAAATCTAGCAAAGCTTATATAAGAAGAAATATAAAAATTCTTATTCTAACTAAAACTAAAGACTTCTTCACGCAAATATTCAATAAAAGAAGCTTGGATATATTTTAGAGAAAGGCGGTGGGTTTCTGACTATAAACTGTTTTGTATAGATCTTATGTCAAGGTGCGGGCTGGCTGGCAGGGTGGTAGAGCAAGCAAGAGCTGGCAGGCTGGGCTTCAAGGTCCTTCAGGCGGGTTAAACAGTTCAACTTATATCGATTGGTTTAGTATGCTACTCGTTAAACTATATACAGACTGATAGACAAGACGTAGCTTAAAGAGCTATAAAGGGAATCAGGGACGGGCAGGTTCTTAAGCAGGTGCGGGGTCACGTGCAGCAGGCGGTTGGGGAAGGCAGATCGGGTTACTGGGGTCAATAGGGTCAAACAGGTCAAGCAGGTTAAAGGGGTCGCACCGTGACAGCTTGCCCATACAGTTAGACCGTGTAACTATATGGGCTGTAGCTACTATTCCTATAGCAAAGCCGGTTTTATTAAAGTTTTAGATATCTTAATTAAGAATACTATGTTTCTTCTTTACAGCTTCAACGCGGTTAAACTACTCGGTTAAAAGCTTTAAATCTTCGCATTTCGCACGTTGAATATAATATCTTCGAGAAAATTAATTCTTTAATTCCGGAGTATATTTGACAAAGTTATATACCTATTTTTCCCCTACAGAGACTGTAGAATTCAAGTCACGTTTTTAAAGAAGAATTTTTGCTATACTCTAAATATATAACGGCCGGGGATAAAGCCCACGCTTTACAAGCGAGAGAATCCAATTCTTTAAAGCTTCCTCTTTAAGATAAGTCAATTTTATAGAGTTGGCATATTTATTTAACTTTGCTTTAACTCCTTGCAGGCGTCCTTGTAGGATTAAACGCGGAATATCAAATACATATGCTGCTTCCATTATTAGAAGAATTTCGCCCTTTTGAATAGCCTCTATAGCAAGGCAGATTCGGCCCTCTTATTCCACCGAAGAATTTGATGATTGAGGCATATTTGGTGGAGTTATTAATGGTTGAATTGCTTCATGTTGGAGAACGCGAGACTGACGCGCGCGGGTGGCGGGTGGCTTACCATGGCGGGTGGCTTACCGATTACGTTAATGATCCGGTTGTGTACGTCAGGGCTTCTCGCGACAGAAAGAAATGAAAATGGAAAATTTTCAAGATAAATCTTTGATCATCTTAGAGCACCACACCTCTAATTACAATTTATTGGGATTGCATTAAATATCTTTAGGGCGGTGATTGTTTACCGGCACCAGATATAGCACAACAATCACTTTCGTTCACAAAGTAATATCCAGTTCCTTTTTGGCGAGGCGGCGAGGACCCTAATATTTACAGGCCTTGGCAATGCTCCAAATCAAGAAGGCAAAAAGTGGTACAGTAACTGAATGTGCTAGCTTAGAGAAATAGCTACTTAGTAGAAACCCGTATATTACCTACTCAGCGCAGTCTTTATAACACGCAATCCTAATATGTGCCCAAATTCCTGCGGACCAGTAAACTTATCACCCGATTACAGAGTTTAAAAAACTGCTGGATACATAACACAGATTATCTTTTTTATGCAGTGTAGCTGCCTGTAAGCAATTAGTCATCAATGCTACTAAGTTAGTCAGCGTGGTTGTTGCTTAGTTATAGTAAAATCTATCCCAAGACTGTAAGTAGCCTCAAGGGCGGTAACTAACCAATAAGGTATGCCTGAATAAGCAGTTCTTTCCCGGAACGAAATGTAGCGCTTGTTACTTGGCTTATATCACTATATTGATGGAATCTATAACCTTACGAATGCGCGACCATTATCGCTGTTTATCAGTCCAAGGTTTGAGCAAACTGACCTGGCACACTGTCTCACAGCATCTAAATATTATATTGCCACGAGAGCTGGTAAGTTTGATCACAGACTTGACCAACTTCTCCAGAATTAGATGCTGATGAAGCTGTCCAATATCTCTTAACGGGCATAAGCAAATCGGACTGCCATATTTAAACCAACAGTTTTACGACGAATTTAAGAGTTATAATTCTTTATATTCTAAGGCTGATTTTATCTGTACTCTATTCTTTAGTATGCATCTTATTGAAGGTATCTTGAAGCTGTTCGATTTTGTATAATACTTAGAACATCACTTTTATTGTCAGAGGTTCCGCCAAGATTTATCCCATGGCCTGGTTGAAACTCTATTGCTAATAAAGCAAGTACTTCTAAATCCAAATAATACCGTGCAGCTAGATGCAACCGTGAAGCCTTTGACCGATCTACCTTAGAAAGTCGGTGCATGGAAAGAGCCTGCATTATTTGAAACTTAGAAAGTCGGTGCATGGAAAGAGCCTGCATTATTTGAACTAAATATAACTATAATATCTTAAAAATACAGCTGAAACTATATAACTTATATTCAACCCGCGGGTTGAGCCCATCGACCTAAAACCCGCCAAAAAAACGGGTTGGGTTTGGACCCGACCTGTGAACCCGCGGGCTTTGGCGAGGCCTACTGAAGATATACCGAATTTTCGTACAAAATCAGCCTTGTCCGTCTATCGTGCAGTTTTTTTCTTTTCAGATAACGGTATCTTCCTCGAGTACGTAAAAGGTACGACCCCTACTGCCCGCAAACAGGCTTGTCCACTAACTGCTCTAACTAGATATATCGCTTTCTTCCAGATTACAAAAAATCCATATTCGGGATCATAAAACCATAGTAGTTACAAAAGTCGAAAAGTTAGAGCCTCTGTCCCTGCAGCAAAAATAGATGAACAATCTTGCGCAAGCTGTTACTTTCCTGGAATCGCCCAACCTCGCTCATAGTAATCTACAACCGAAAAACATCCTGCTTGATTGCAACCGTCTAAAACTATCCAACTTTAATTATACAGCCGAAATCGGGACAAATTACAAAGCTTGTTTAACTCCATACAGCAGAATACTTAATAGCAACGAAACAGATCAAGAAGAATACAAAACTTTCGGTTTTTTAGAAGCTTAAACAGAGCAATTTGCCCTCGGTTTCTTATTTTACTTTATAAACTATGGCTTCGAGGTTTATAAAAATCAATATCTTACAAAGGATCCTTACGAGCATGGTCCGAAGGTCGTAGACTTACTACAGAACATAAAGTTTTTAAAATTAGATTATGATCCGCTGATTGACAATATCATCGATAAATGCTGGCATAACAAATACGGCACCGTTTCAGAATTGGCCGCGCACACGAAAACGCTTTTGGATGAAAGACACGGAGAAGGTAGCGAAGGGGAAGGAAGCAATGAAGTGAGAATCCTCATCGAGTCATCCTCCATCGCCCGGCGGGGTATGGTTATTGGCCTCGTAATTCATGGGTTATGGTATGGCCTTGGCAACTGGTGGATGTCGGTCTCACCCAGCACCAATGGCGAGGTAGCAATCGCTGAGCAAGCTAAAGGCGACAGCTGTGACGACGTGGATAAGAACCTCCTAGAAGAGGAATTTTTGTTAAAGAAGCAAGTCTGCTTGGACTTGGAGAAGCGTGGACTTCTTCGTCTACTTTGTTCAGGCGAGCCTGAGCAGATGGGATTTACTTTTGATTGGTATAGGCACAGTCCCTGAGGTTGGGTGCTTCAAGACGTCATGAAACTACGTTAAAAATGAGAAAGCCTAAATGCTGGGAAAGTCCCTTGCTTCTCTGTTTGTCACTATAACACCTTGGCGTCCTGGTCTTGTCGGAGTACAGCCTGGTTCCGGAAAGCCTAAAAAAGCCTAAACCGGTCCTGTTGAGTCTAGCCGGGATATTCAAGTATAATACTTTATTCGGCAAAATATCCTGTAATTTATAGATGCTGATGCATTTTAGCTGAAGACCAGCTGATAGTATAGGTCATCTGTAAGGCAAAACCAACAACACAGCCTTGCATGACCGAGTATAAATAGTATGTTATATGTTTTGGGAATCCAGGCCGCGTGTGCTTATTTCGAATTCAGAAAAGAATGGAGCGCGTTACTATGCAGCTATTATCAACTATTGATCTTCTCTCAACTAAGCTGTTTCAGCTCCATTACAAGAAAGCCTCACGGAAAGAACGTCTGGAGCTTTCTTACCTGCGAGCCAAGGCCATTGCCAATCATTGGAGTCAGTCAAACCAACACGTAAGCTATTATGTACATGCTTCTCTCTTTTAGAATTATCTTGCTTCACAATAGAGGGAAATCTTCTATAAATTGAACTTCATGCGGCTATAGTAGCTTATACATTTAGATAGACCTCATACATTTATAATCTAATAGCGCAACATATCTGGGCAGTTATTTCCAAGACTACCTACCTTAGTACTGCTGCGCGGTGAACGAATACCAATATAAGTATTCTACTGGAGTTAGCAATATAAGTTTCTGAATAATCGGGTTACTAATTGTATTGCGTGGCCTCTTTTAATCTAAAACTTAAATCAACTAATTATAATTAGACGTGCTGATAGTTGTATTCATAAAGATAGAAAATCGCTCTTATTAATCTATACTTATATACAAAGTTATACTGTAGCTTTCCATTTGTCAAAATCATACGGAAATCCCTTGGCCTCTGCGACCTCCCTAGCAGTCTTCCCCGACGCCGCAGGAATATCTGCATCCGCCCCAGCCTCTATTAAGAAATCCAGAACCACCGACCGGATTTGTCGGTCGGCGTGCTTTTGGTCTGGATTATAACGATGACACTCCAGATAGAAGTACAGCGGGGTGCGGCCCTTGTTGTCCTGCGCGTTGATATCCTTAGTGGCACCCTGCGTCAACAGAAATCTTACATCACGTAGTTCCCAGTCCGGTCTGCGCATGGTGAGGTGAAGCTCTGTCTGGCCCTGGGAATCCGGTCGCAGCCGCACGCCTGCCTCCATCATGGCGCAGAACCGCTTCCCATTAAAGAATGGAACATAGTGGAGGATGCTTTTCCCATGGGAATCCAGACTACTGAGATCGGCACCTTTGTCCTTGAAGAAGTAAAAGAGGCGCATACTAAGCGCCTCGACCTCTGGATCGTCGGCGGTGCCCCAGCAGTGGGCAAGGTGGAATGCGGTGTTTCCATCCTGTGTGCGGTAGTTGGCCAGATCGGGTATAGTGGGCGAGCTGCTGCTGCACGGCCACAGTAGTTCAATCACCGCGAAATGACGTTGCTGGCACGCTTGGTGGATGGGGAGCCATCCCTGTCCGTTCAGCTGAAGAGGGTCTGCTCCGTGGTCCAGCAGGAACTGGACCGTCTCTAGACGGCCGTTCTTCGCAGCGGCATGCAGCAGGGACCCGCCTGTCCAAAGGTGCGTCTCTGGAAGTTCCTCGTTTATATCTAGCACGGCTGCTTGATGCTCATAGAAGAAATGGATCAGATCGGGGTTTCCGTTGTTTACTGCGCGGGCGAAGAGGCTGGGTTCTCCCTCTCTCCCGGCGAAGGAGGGCTCGGGAAGCTCCAGGCCGTGGTCGAGGAGCATCCGAAGCATCTCCATACCCATGGAGGTTTCAACAACCGTTTCGATGATCGGTCCGGGTTCGACCCTCTTGGATCGATAGATGGACCGGGGGAGTTGTAATGGTGGATTCGGGCGAGCCCCGTAGGCGAGCAAGAGCCGGACGGTCTCGAGTCCCCTTTGCCACGATTCCGTGGCCAGGGGCATGAATATCGAAAGGTCGGCGTTGTAGTCCTCCATGGCGGCAGCCTCCGCCAGAGCCCGGTCAAGGATCGCTTGTGGCACCCCCGGTGCAGGGTAGTGACGGAGAAGGATGGCCAGAGTTTTGGGCTGGCGATACAACGCGGCTACACTCAAAGCCAGGGGCCATTCGTGATCCGCGATGGTGCCTGGCGGCAGCCGATCAATCAAGCGCTGCACCGCGACGTCCGAGCCCCAGACTGCGGCAGCCATGAACGGCGTATGTGGCCCCTTATCCTCGCCCGTCGGGAAAACGCCGCGCATGGACGACCCATCTGCCGCAGAATCGTCCACGGTCGCATCGGCCCCAGCGTCGAGGAGAATATCCACCGCTTCGGCGGAGTTTCCCTCGGCTGCAAAGTGCAGGGGGCTTAGGCATATTTCACCATATGCATTCGGACCCTTTTGATTAACATCAAATCCACGGGTAATCAGGTAACGGAGCAAGTCGAGTTGTTTGTACCTGAGAGCCTCATGGAGCGCCGTGTGACCATACTTGGGAAGATCCGTTGCCTCTGGGGTATCGAGAAGGTTCTCCACGGCGGTGAAGTTGCCGACACGGGTCCATCCTATCAGCTGACTGATAAGATCTGCCTGAATGTGGTATGGAATTCTTGGGTAGCAGGCCATGGCAAGATGGCGAAGACGAAGTAAGTGTGGGGGGGTGGATGAGGGGAAAAAAGGGAGGAAAGAGGAAAGGACTTTGCTAACATTTATACTAGAGCAGGCACTGCACTGATGATACACCGCGGGCGGGAAATAATACACGTGATACAGTATGTTACAAACTTGATACCGAGTACTGTGCATGCTGTACAGTGGCAGAGACTCCCTCCTCTTCCTGAGAAGAAAGCCTGACCAAGGTTGACTGACACCCACCATCATCTTCATCTGTGTAGAAAGTAGACATTCCAAGCCACTTTTTACTCAATCAAGCTAAGCAGCTGCCATACTCAGTCAAGCAATTCACCGCTGCGCAGTAAGCATCTGAGCTACCACAGTATCCGTTCACCGAGCAACAGTCGCCGAACTGACTGCCCAGGCACGTTGCGCTGTTAAAGCTCATAAATCCACAAAGACCGTCCGAGCTAACTGGCAGCTCGTCGCAGCTACCAAATGTAGACTGACACTGGCCGATTCCGCAGTATGCATCTGTACTGCCACAGTAGCCGCTTGTCGAGCAACAATCCCCAAACTGACTGCCCGCACAGCTTGCGTTGACAGAAGACATGGAGCCGCACAGTCCGTCTGGACTCACGGCCACCGTATCACAGTTACCATACGCAGAGTCGCAGGTCCCGATGCCGCAGTACTCGTCGGTGCTTCCACAGTAGCCATTAACTGAACAACAGCTCCCGAAGGTGCTACCCTCACAAGTAGCGTTGGTAGATGAAAGGGCGCCGCAAAGCCCATCTGAACTGACGGTAGGGCCGGGATTACACGTTCCAAACACTGACTGACAACTATCATAGGCACAGTAGTCAGACGTGCTGCCACAGTAGCCGTCAATCGAACAGCAGTCGCCAAAAGTACTTCCAGCACAGGTAGCATTAGAAGACGAGAGAGCCCCGCAGAGGCCATCGGTGCTGATTGTAGAACCAGCATCGCAGGAGCCAAATGCCGACTGGCAGCTATCGTAGGCACAGTAGTCGGACGCGCTGCCACAATATCCATGAATCGAACAACAGTCGCCAAATGTGCTACCGGCACATGTGGCGTTAACTGATGAGAGAGCACCGCACAATCCGTCAGAGCTGACTGAAGGAGCTTCATCACAGCTTCCAAACTCGCTCTGACATGTTTTGTAGCCACAATAGTCAGAGGTACTACCGCAATAACCGTCAACCGAGCAGCAAGATCCAAACTCACTTCCAGCACAAGTCGCGTTGGTTGACGACTTGGATGCACAGAGGCCGTCTAGCGAGACAGGGTTACCTGAGACACAGAGGCCATGGGTCGCATCGCAGATTCCGGCCGTGCAGTAGTCGGAAGTGCTGCCACAATACCCAGAGATGGAACAGCAGTCTCCAAACGACGAGCCCAGACAGGTAGTCCCGTTCCCACACAATCCATTGGTGGAGACGGTCAGGTTACCACTCAGGCTTGTTGTATTGAAGCCGCTCATGGGATGAATACAGTAGGTCACACCAACTGTCAGTTCATCGTCACAGACCGCGGCGGATGTGATGGACGGATTTGCAGCCATAAATAAATTGAACGGCGTGTTGGCCTCCGCCAAGAGCGACACGCAGGTGTCTCCCGACACCACTGTGTAATAGTCGCCACAGTCGGTAGTAGTCCCTTCAGCCAGAGTAACGTCGCTTGGCAAGGCGACGAAGCTGGTACCATAGCCTGATCCAGAGCCACCCTGTCCGTCTACACCCGAGGCGGAACTTGAATTAGACGAGACTGTCAAGTTGAAAGTGCCCCCAGGAGGGGAGACGCATCGCACTCCGCCTAAGAGGGCGGTATCGGCGATGTTTGAGCAAGCACTGTCTACCATGCCGTTATAGGAAATCAGTTTCATCCACGAAATACCCGCGGTGACGGCAATCGATGAGCAATTATCACCAGCAACGACCTCGTAGATATCTTCACATGCCAGAGGCAGACACAGGTCCAACCCCACCGTCGGGTCACTGCAATTGTACAGGGTGGGATTGATTTGATACAGGGTTGAAGAGGAGATAGAATGGGCTATGGAGATGGAATCGCAGGTGTCCCCAGTTTGAACTGTGTACCAATTGTCCGTTGAGCAGGTGGCATTGGCCGCGGGAATCTCAAGGCCTCCCGGAGTCGGCTGTGTTTCCACGCCCTCAAGGTTGCAAACTGTCAGAATTATATCAGTCAGCCACACCATATCGACATGAAACTTCGAGCACCGAAAGAAGTAGACGTACCCGAAATCGAATAATTGAGCATAGTCTCGTAAGGGGTGCTGTAAGCCGAGTACGGTGACTGCTGCATCAACTCCAATTTTCGAATCCAGCAATTGTCGCAAATATCCGCCACCGGCACATCGGTAAGATTCGATACCGAGTCCCATGAATCGATAACATCTGATGACAGTGAGCTATTGATATATAGGCTTTTTATCATCTTATTCTTGCTAGAGCAGACATACCGTTACAGTAAGTGCCGTTGTCATTTTTTAAGCATGTTTCATTCCAGCCTGACCAGATACTGTCGATCACCGACAGAGCCGGGATTCCCTCTGCGATAGTTGCATCTGCACCGCACTGTGCCACGACTTTGTCATGGAAGCTGGAAAGAGACTGGCCGCATTGAGTTGAGCATACCGCGTCAGTCAGGACCGAGTCATTTAGACCACCATGCCAGACTGGTCTCCCGAGCGTCGACACATAGCTGTCGCACTGCAAGTTGTCATACAAGGCATCTTGACAGCTCTGAGTGAGACTGGAACTGCTGAAAGACTGGCTGGGAACCAGTTGAAATGAACTAGATTCGGAGTCGCGTGCTTGCTGCGTATGCAGATGAGAGTGAGCGTAGTTGCCATGCCCCCGGGAGTAATGCCCGAGAGTGACCTGCACCAACAGAGACGACAAAGCGAAAGCATTAATGAAACCAGACGAGCGCATGGTGACTGGCTAACCCGGGCAGGACTGCGAGAGCGACGAAGTCCGTGTGAGAAAGCAGCAGACATTTCTCTTTTTTACTTCTTTTGTCCGTAACTCAACAAAGGTTCTTATGTCTCGTCTCGTCGCTGAGACGGTACGAAACCCGTATTAGGGGGCTCAGGGGCTGTAATACGGCGGCCTGCATTATCGGAAAGGTCCGGCCATCGGGGCTCGGAGGAATCAGTACGTACTACTACTATTCAAGTGGTATGGGAAATTATGGTGGAAACGCCGGACAGCAAAGGAGCAATTCGGTTGGAACTTCTGATGGCCGTGTGGGAATTAGTGCGCAAATAGTCAACTCGCCCAAGGGTCTAGGGTCTTGGCCGGAGCTTAGCCCCGTTACCCAGATCGAACTACTATATCTACTCGAGTATATGTGGAGACCCACTAAATACAGGGCTTATTCATCCACTTGCGCACTGCAAGAGGAAAGAATTTGTCTCCTCGTTAGCCTCTATTAGACAGTAAGAAATCTTGTTATCGAACAGGGCCAAGCACTTCATCTCGTTTACATACAACAGTTCTGTGGGAGTCGGCAGTTGGTTATGGCTTCGTGTCGAGAAAGGATCTCCACAAAGTACTGTACAGTAATATCAGCGGTGACCGATTTTTGCACGGACGGACGGCACTACGGTTCGGCAAGTGTCGTTGCCGCCCCGATCCGAAAATGAAGAATGAAACGGCCCTTATTACTCTATAGCCCTGGTGAACGCCACTTCTGCCTCAACCGAGGAGCTAAGACCCGACAAGCGCCCTGCCAAGAGGGTCTTTCTACGCCTGAGTTATGTCTCGACATGCCTGTTCCGGTTACTATATTTTCGTCCCAGCTGTTACCCACATAGCACAGATTTCATTACATGATGATTGCTAAACCAACTTGTTGTACTGTGCAGCCCTTGTTCAGCCCATTAGAATCGACTTCGGACTACAACCCAAATGTCTCAAAAGAATCATGGACTACTCAACAGAATGTTCACCAATAAATCTTCTTGATGTTACGACCAGTTAGATACTTAAATTATAAAAGATAGAGATCTTGTTGTTTTGGTATATCGTCCGCTAGCCTGCCTCTTATATTCACAACGCCCTATATTACGAGCAGAACAGCCGGTGGGGGTAAATGGGCTTATGAATGTTTTCCCACAATTTCATTAATTACTCCTTTCATGAAGCATCACTCCACTATCCAAATTCAAAAGTCATATCGTACTAGTGTAAGAGCTTTCAGTCACATCAAAGTACGGGCCATGACCAATGAAGGCCCATAATATTCTTTCTGGAGTTCTCACACCAACCTATACACCAGTAACTTCAGTACTAGCCGAGCACTAGTCAGGCACAGCTCGTGGGCCCAGAATCTAAGGATATAATAATGCACGGCAGGAGTTCTCGAAAGAAAAGGGGTAGGGGGAAATGTTTATGTCAAGGGCCGGAGCTCGCTGCAATGCCACGCAGTTAAAGAGCCGCTGTCGCCTCTCGTTGTTCTGCCTTATTTCATCCAGCACCATTCCACCATGCATCCAACTTCATTGCTCGCGTGGCTGGGTGTGTTTTTAGCCCTGACTGGCCAGTCTGTCCAACAGAGCTGCAGTGAATCCAACCCCTGTACGCTCGGATGCTGTGGCAAGTCCGGAGTATGTGGCATGGGCCCAACCTTCTGCGGGTTCGTCCAAAACCTTCTCTATTACTACAGATTAATCAGGGATACTGACCGACTAATGCACTAGTCCGGGAAATTGCACAGCTAGCTGTGATGCCAAAGCGGAATGTGACCCTGACAACTGGGGCTCAGCTTATGTCAATGCCAGTACATGTCCTCTGAACGTCTGCTGCAGTTCGTACGTTGAAACCCCCTTGTGTATGAGTGCAGTTAGCGTTTCGATTGTTGATTGATACCAGGTATGGCTTCTGTGGTACAACGAGCGAGTTCTGTGGCGATACTACCGTTACCAGACCATCGTGCGATGCCTCAAGCCAAAATGTGTCTCGGATCATTGGCTATTATGAGGCCTATGCCATGTCCTCGCGTGCCTGCGACGTTCTTCGCCCTACCGAGATCCCCTATGGAGTTTATACACACGTCAAGTAAGAAATTCATATATTCTATATGTATCACATGGTAACTAGAATCATTGTTGCCAACAGCTTTGCCTTCGGTACTATTGATCCCACCACATTTGCGGTTCAAGCCACGGACGAAACTGAGGCAACCCTCCTGCAGGAGATTGGTTCGCTCAAATTAATCCAACCGAACCTGCAAATTTGGCTATCGCTGGGAGGGTGGTCATTCAGTGATGCCGACGAGTCCACTCACTATACATTCTCCAATCTGGCGGCTTCCGAGGCAGACCAAAAGGCCTTCTTCGCCTCGCTGATCTCATTCATGGGCACATATGGCTTCGATGGTGTCGATATTGACTGGTACGCCATTAACTCCCTTTTCTCTCCCCCGCCACCTCTATTATACTACTATTTTTTGTGTTGACCATGGTTTCCCGGAGGTAGGGAATACCCGGTCGAAGCAGACCGCGGTGGCCGATCGGATGATTACGACAATTTCCCCAGTTTCCTTAAGAGCATGCAGAGTAGCTTCTCAGGAACAGGATCAGATAAGGGAATTAGTATCACTCTGCCATCCAGTTACTATTGTATGTGAAGCTATCCAGGCGCCCCACGCTAGGCCCAAGCTACTTTGATCTTAATACCTTCCAGATATGCAACATTTTGATATTGTGAGCCTATCGAAATATGTGGACTGGTTCAACATTATGGCCTATGACCTGCATGGGACCTGGGATGAAGACAGCTCTTGGACTGGCCCATATATCAATGCTCATACAAACATGACCGAGTTACAGACCACGCTCGACCTGCTTTGGCGCAACGACATCGACTCTAGCAAGGTGGTACTGGGCATGGCGTACTACGGCCGTAGCTTTACTCTCACAGAGGCGAGCTGCTCGGAGCCTGGATGTAGATTTGTCTCTGGTGGCAATGCTGGCAACTGTTCGATAACTGCCGGGGTGCTACTCAACCCGGAGATTATGAATATCATCAGTGCCAACGGCCTTGCCCCGACGCTTTACAAGGATGCCGCTGTAAAAGCCATCAACTGGGAGAATCAGTGGGTCTCTTACGATGACGAAGATACTTGGAAGCTGAAGAGTGAGTGGCTCAAAGGACAGTGTATATCTGGGGTCATGGTCTGGGCGGCCACCCAGGACGACACCAATGGGACCTGGTCTAAGGCCCTCATGTCTGGTCTGGGGGTGGAGATCATGCAGCCTGTCAAGATCCAGTCGCTGTCCGATCTCGAAACCACTACCACCACTACGACTCGTGATACCTTGAGCCAATGTCGTTGGACCAACTGCGGAGACGAGTGCCCCAGCGGATTTAAGGAAGTCCCGCGTGATGGGACTAAGTTGACTATGACCGACACCACCGGCTGCTCACCAAGCCGGGAGCACAAGTTCTGCTGTCCGGCCAGTGACACGGATTTTCCTACTTGCAGATGGCGTGGATTCCACAATACCGGCTTCTGCACGGCTGGTTGCAAGGATGGGGAGACCGAGGTGGGCTCCCTGAGCGAAGGCTGCCGGACGAGTCACCAGAGTGCCTGCTGTACCGTAACCTCCTCTACCAAAGCCTACTCCAAGTGCAAGTGGGTGGGCAGTTCGCCACCGTGTGCTTCGCCTGGCAAGAATCATACCTGCCCCGACGACTATCCCCATTTTTTGTTCGCAGACAGTAATGGGGCTGGTGGCGAGCAAACCTGCAGCTCGGGACGCAAAAGCTACTGCTGCACGGAAATCCCCGACGAATTCACTGATTGCAAGTGGTACAACAAAGAAACTACGGTCATTGGACCGGAGTCTTACTACTGTGAGACCTCGTGTCCTACCAATTATATCCGTCTTGGGATGGAGGCCGGAAGCTGCGGGTACAACATGCAAGCCTACTGCTGCGGAGGCAAGACCACGACCACAACCACTACTACCACTCCCAACGACCCCTACGCCAGCTGGATCGGCTGGCAATACGCGGAGTTTGTCACGCTACTGAGGGGCTATATGGAGAACCCCTATTGCTTTGACGAGGAGCTGAGCGTACCGGGAATGGACTATTTCTACAGTGAAGAGGATGGCACTATTAATAAGAAGAAGCGAGAGATTATTCTCGGAAGAACCTGCAGTTCGGCCCAGTGGCAGGAGTTGATTAAGTGGGTAGGGCTTCTATTCAGCTCCAGTACAAGTGACTTTGCTGTGGCAGCGCTGCGACAAGTCTGGGATGAGGAATTTGCAGGCTACTATTCCACTACTCTGCAATACGCCACTCTGGCCCCTTTTCTCGCCACCTTTGCCAGTGCGGGGCAAGATATTACCGCGTGGCTCACGGATATGCTTCGGGATCCGATCAGTGCGGCCGCGGACATTGAAGAGGTCGAACTCGCGATGAACGAACTCTGCACGCTCGATGATGACGACGGTGCGAGCAGTGAAGGTAGCAGTGGTAGCTCCACGTCGACCAAGCGGTCATTGCACGGGGAGTTGTTGCTACCCCGGCTAGAAGGGAGTAAGCGACATATCAACGGCATAGGTGAGTTCTCCCATCATGGTAACCCACTTCCACTCAGGAGTTCTTGCCCTTAGCTAACCAGATGATCTCGTTATTAATATCAGGCGGTGAGCAAAAGCAAAGAGTAAAGTCTCCTGGAATGAAGAGCATTCTAGAAGCAGTCAATGCCGGTACTCTCCCTCTCAACTACGCACGCTGGTTGGAGTATCAGGCACGGAACGCGAGAGACAACCCTTACATTGTCCCGGGGGTGATCCTGGAACTGGCTTACTGGATCGGCCCCGAAGTGGGAACGGTGGGCGACAGCACGTACGACCAGTATCGCGATATGACGGACGGCACTGGAGCAGACCAGTGGGTCATCTTCCATCTGCACTTCGACGAGCGCGGGGTGGATTCCAATGTCCATCCTTTTGTTTCCATCACTGAAGGGGGCGCGACTGCGACCTACTCACGCACCGCGTCCATCAGAGTGTACCACGGCCGGTATACCGTCACCGCCGGCAATAACCTGCGCGTCCAGTACGATTCGGGGTCCAGTACTAGCCGGTCCAGCGCATTTTACTGCTCCGGCAACGCCCACTGGGATATCGGCCGTACCAGCCTGACTCCCACGGCCCGTACCTGGGGTGCCGAATTGCAGACATGGGGAACCAACCTGAGAGAGACGTATCTGGATTCAGACGCCTGGCGGCTTGTCTATCCCGACCTTAGTACGACCAACAATGAGATTGACGCGGATTGGATTACCGCGATCAATCCTCCGAGTGTGTATACAGCTGATAGCTGGATTATCGGTCCTGACGGGCTGACTACTGACGTATATATTCCTGCAATTCCCCCGCCTTAGCTAGTGTTCGAGTAAAATCGTATCAGCTGCACACCTTTCTCTGCTGTGTTTCCCCGATCCCAAGCGGACCAAGAGAGTGTACTTTCTAAATGACTATTAAATGGTTAAAATAGCAGTTATATTTTAACTGAAGAAGTTAGCGAGTTGAGTGATTTGACAATTTTAGGCAGATGGCTAATCTTCGGCTTTTGACTTTTTATGTGACCATTAAGAATTCACAAAGTACCGGCTCAGTGATTCTATTTCAACAATTATTTCTTGTTCAATACTGTTGTTGTACTATTATATTATGTTGCTCAGCCAGCCAAGGCTTAATATAATTAATTTTGCTTTGTACTAATTCGCTAGTTCTGACTAGCGTGATTTGATATTTTCGAGTAATTCCCGACAGAGAATACTAATAAGACGAGAGCTGTTACTTGCTTAGTATTCGTCTAATTTATTTTTAAAAACTAATAATACTTTAAAGAACTTTGTTTCCGTCGAGCTATTAACAGAAGAGGGACTTGCCTGTAATAGCAGTTAATATTAGCGGGTAATATACGCGGGTAAACTTATGTCTAATAGAATTATTAGCTCTGGCATCCTCGGCTGTTCAAAAGTACTTTTTTAACATGTAAAGACTATATTCTTATTTAGATTACTGTTATAAATAATTCTGCCTTAATTAAGCTCCATATAGCCAGCTCTAGGTATTACTATTATACTTTTATATAGTATTATATGTTTGTTATTTTTCTAGATTTAAGATATCTTTTAACAGACTAAGAAAATATATTAACAGAAAGAAACTGAATCATAGTATAACAATAGGTAGAGTGGCTAACGGCCAGATCAGGTCAGGTTAATTGGAATTTTTATACCTGACCGCCAGGTTATGGCCAGGTTAAAGAAATTTTTATATCTGACCGCGGTATAGCTAAAAAAGAGATAATTAACTATTTTAATTATTCTTAGTACTAAGACCTACCCGCTATATTTATTTAAGCTTTAGTACGGTTAAGATATATTCAGATTAAGTAGTTATTAATCTGACTATCTTAACCGTTGTTTAAAAATATATAGAAACAAGCTTTTAAAATCAGAAAAAAATAACTAAAAGAAGTATTAATATCTTCTTTATCTCTATTTTAAAAAATTAATCAGAGATTTCTAATAGTGTTAATAAAATTTAGTTTTTTATAAAATTATGGTTCTTACAGCAAAAAATATATATAAAAATATATAATTATAGCTTGGTTTAAGCTGTACACCTTAATTATAATATATAATATTAGAAAAACTATATATTTACTAATAATCGGACTATTAAGAATAAATATACTATTTTTATTCTACTATTCTTCTTCTTATTTTAGCTTAGATAGTCTATTATATTCTTATTTTCATCTAAAAAAGCTGAATTATCTGTATAATAGATTAAACTTAAAGAAAAACCTGTATAATACTATTTATATAGTTTTTCTCGGTAACCGTACTTTTTAACAATTATCTTATTAAATACCAGGTATTATAAGAATAGTTTATTATTTTTATTTTTTTAATCCAGTTAATCTCTTTTATTCTTTTTATCTAATTAATCTTTTTAATCTGTTTAATTTTTTTAATTCTAAGTACTCTAGAGACCTGTTATTAACTATATTAATTTTATTTTATTTATTTAGTTTAACCAACTCTCCCGCGTAATAATAATATATATTCTAAAGTTTTTCTGTACTTTTCTTTTTTTTTCTTTTTCTCTTTATGTTTAAAATTCTTATATCTTAATATTAAATAGATTAGTTTTTAATTATTTAAACAGCTCTTACAGATATTATATTTTTTATAGAAAACTCTATATAAGTCTTTTTTAGGCTTTTTTTATAAATATTAGAATAATCTAACCAATCTGACTAATCTAATCGACTAAAATAAATAAAATGCAGCAGGCGCCTTAGCTATATTTAAAATATAATAGATTATATTTATATAAAAGTATATTTTAAAATAAAATAAACTATTTTTATAGAATTTTCTACTTTTTTTTTTTTATATTTATTATTTGTAGAGTAGTTTTAGAATTATAAGTTAATTATAATTATTTAATTTATTTTTAGAGAATACTATCGAGCTTTTTTTTTCTGTTTTTTAGATATTTACAAACTATAATAATACTTAAATTAAAATAAGTTTTTTAAGCCAGATCTTTTTTTTTTTTTAAATCTCTAGATTACGCGTGTTATAAAGAATCGGAAGATTATTTTATATCTAATTTATAAAAAAAAATATTCTACTTTTTAGAATTAATAGTAGAAGATAATCTTTTTTAAAGTCTGTATATAAGTTCGAAAACTGCTATTTTACTTCGGTCGGGAGAAGATATTAATAATATAAAACAGCTTTTAAAAAGATATATTATTTTCTAATAGAATTTCTTATATCTACTATATTACCTGTCTTTATATCCTATAATATCCGGAAATTAAAAACTTAGAAACTAGTTTTATAAGCTACTATCTTCGTAAGGATTATAAGAAGAAAACGCTATTAGTAATATTTAAACAAATAATTAGTTAGATACTAAATAAAGAATTATTATAAATATTTATTTGTTTTTTTAATATAAATTTTTTTTAATTATTATTTTCTCTAGGCCTCTACAGTCTATAATAAACAGAACTTTTAAAATTAAGTTCTATATTTTATAATTATCTGTTGTCTATTATTCCGAACTATCGAGTATATTTAATTTAAATAAATAATTAATCTTATAGTTTTATTTTTCTACTAAAAACTAAGTTCTTTTAATTAAGTATAGATTAAAAAATATTTCTTAGAGTTGTTAAAAGATATATACATACAGCTGTTATTAAAGTTTTTAGATATTAGAAAAATATTAGTTGTAGTAGACTACTAGACTAGTTTTAATTAAAAAATATTTCTTACTTTAACTAGATATTTTTTAATAAAAGATATAGATTATTATAAAGTTTTACTGGGCTTCCGACCGGTATCTAAATCTTATACTAGTAAGAATCTAGCTATAATTATTCTATTAGTTTTATATAAATATAATCTGTTCTATCGGTTGTTAGATATAACAACTAATAATATTAGTAATAATAATTTAATATTTAGTATAATCTTATCTAAACTTCGGATTTAGTTCAGTTAAAGTATTCAGCTTTATAATATTTTACTTAATTCTGATTTTATAATAATTATTTAAAGCTAGTATTATATATTCTGTTTTATTTATATAATTCAGCTTATAGTTAATACTTTTTTATAAAAACTTTAGATTAAGGCCTCAAACAGTACTGTTAAATATTTATAAAAGAATTATAATAAAAATCTTAAAGTCTCTTCTGGTATTTTAAAAACTTTTAAAAAAATATATTCTAGAAATTATTTATAAAAAACTAATATAAAGAGTCTCTACTATAATAAAGACTATTTAGATTAGTTTTTTATAGACAGATTCTAAAGATCTTCTTTTAATAATAGCTAATAATACTAATTCTTAATTATAGATTCGGAAGATTGTATGATTTGTAAATATAAGCTTTTAATATTATAAAAAATTCTAACTTATTTAATAATTTAAATTAAACTTGGTCTACTATCTTTTTCTTAACTATAAAACTTATTAAAACTTAATCTATTTTATAATTCGCCGGATATTTAATTTTTATTAAGTAATCAACAGTTTTATTCAGTACTATAATTATAGTAATATTAATTATTTTTATTTTATTATAATTAAATAGAAACAGATAGAATATCTTCTTAAGCTTCTATACCTTTTTTTTCTTTTTATATTATATTTATTTAAGAACAGTAGACCTACTATTTATAAGATTTATAATATTTATAATAATTTTTTTGATTATCTGGATTACTTAATTAACCGACTGGTAAGAAAACAGGTATTTTAAAAAAAAAAGATTTTTAAAGACTTACAGAATATATATTAAAAGTTCTAAAAATACTACTATTATATCTACCAGATAGAAGACTATATCTATATAATTATAATTATTCTAAACCCGATATTAAAGCTTAAAAAATTTAAAAAAAATATCTGGCTGAATAATAATACTAACTAGTATCTTAAGTATCGAACTATTTTTAAGAAGATATTTTATTTTTATTATAATTAGAATCTGGCTATTAATATATTATTAACTATCTCCGGATTACTGTCAGGCCTGGATAAAGTCTTTTATAATATTTTTAAATATTAGAGACTCTTACCGGTAGCCGAGATATTTAAAAAACTTAAAGTATATTTAGATATTAAAGATATATAGCTTATTAAAATATTTTTAATTAAACTAATATTATTTTAAATATTATAGAATATATTAATATTCTTGCTTACTAGAAGTCCTGCTGTAATTAGTTTTTTATTTTTTATTAAATAATTAGAGATTTTCTCTTAATTACTACTAATAATATTAGTATTAAATATTTATTTAATAATTTTTAAGATATTTATTACTATCGCCGGAGCTGTCTTTATTCTAATATAATTAAAATAGTAATACTTTAGATATATACTAATTATTTTACTATTAATAAAAAGTACTAGAATATTCTTAATAATCTTAATCCGGATTCGATTATCTTCACACTTAAAAAATAAAAAAAAATAAAATAATTATTATTTTTTATATCAGTAAAAATAAGAATATAGATAATCTTAAAAATAATTTAGAAAATAGATTATTATTAGAAATAGAAAAGCTAGCTTTACTTAAGTCTTCGAATATTATATATACTTAGATAAAAATAAAGACCCGGTCTTTTCGATTTTTTTACTACTATAATTATTATTCTGAACAGTATAAAGAATAGTATAATCTTATTAGTTTATTTAATATTAAATTCTATATTTCTTATACTAGATTTTGTAAATATTTTTTTTAAAGTATAATATATTTCTTAGGATTACAGAGAAAGAGGTCAAGCAGGTTAAACAGATTAAATAAATTAAATAGATTAAATAGATTAAATAG